TGGGGGGGGGGGGGGGGCTCCATTTCCATATTTTGTTGTTGTAATGTCGAGCACACTTTTTTCACCTACTGGTTATAAGTTTATCGGAAAAAACGCAAAATACAGTTGGTTACGCTGCCGATGAGGGCCCCAAACATTCTTCGAGGCCCGAAGGATCAGAACAGTAACCTTCCATACCAAAATTATTCAACTTGGAATCAGGCCTTTAATTTAAGTCGTGCACACACGCTCCGGTTTTATTCGGCCGATTCAATTGATGGTTTATACACGAATCGCGAAATTCGGGCAGAAATCACAGTTAAAGAAAAACAATGTAGCTGTGACTGGATGATTTAAAATATGCGTATTTAAGTATTGAAATGTTCACTCATGCACTCATGATTACATATTACTACAATACAACACGAACGGATGACTGAACATTTGAATACTTTAATACGCATATTTTCAATCATCCAGTCACAGCTACATGTTTTCCTTTGAATTCGGGCAAAGCCCGACTCAGAACGCGTCATTTGGATGCGCAATCGGATTTCGCGTGTATAGGCTTATATATAATATTCGTGTATAGGCACATGTGATTTCAAAGCTAACACAGGCTGTTTTCCATCCGAACCGTAAATTGGCCGACAAACAAAAAGTTAACGTGCGCGTGCATTCCAATATGTATGCTGAAGTAACACAACACAACCTGGCAAGGGTGGAAAAAGTATCGGACCACGGGACCATTGGTCCCAGAAAATGTTTTTGAGTTCCCAGAAAATATTTCCGTCATCATTTCCCAAGAAAGAAAAAAATTGTAGAGAGGAAAGGGAAAATTGTCAGAGGAAAATTCACACCATGACCTCCGAAATGCAATTGTAAATCCATCCATCTTAATAGTGAGATAGTGTATAAATGTTATGATGTAACAAATGTTGTATGGCAAATGCATTTTTAGCCAATCTGGGACACCCTGATCATGGATCCCCCTGATAGTGCCCCCCTAATAGTGTCTTTTTTGACATCTGTATTTACCTTAGGATCAGACCCTTGATGGCATGCATGTTATCTAAATTAGTTTTAGGTTATATTTTATGATTCTCAGTGCACTGAAATATTTTTGATAGATGACATCCAGTTTGACAACTTGTTAGTGTCACACAGTTACAGTGTCCGAGTGTCCATTTACTTTACTATTTGCGGAAAATTTTCAATGTTCTCTTGCGGTCCCAGAAAGTAAAATATTTTTTTCCATCCCTGCAATCCGGTCAGGATATTGATTGGTACCTCAGGACCACTGATCTGAACTAGATGGATAATGCATCCTCTATGCACAAAAGAAGCCAATGGCGGACATTGTGATCACCACAAATCTACTGTGGTATTGCCAAAATGTTAGAAGAGGTTCTAACAGTTTCTCGCATCTCACTTGATTGAATAATAGTTGAAGTGTTTTGTAGATGGAAATTATCGAGTGGAAATTTATATACATTTATTAGACTTAATCAGGAACAGCTGCGAAAAATGCAACTATAGGTCCTCTGGCAGGAATCGAACCTGCGGTCCTGCGATTCTGGTGCAGCGTTCTAACCAACTGAGCTACAGAAGCCAGTAGTCGAGCTCTAACCACAAGTTCATGTATATATACTAGAGTACTGCCATGTACAAGTTATGAGTAAATAGCAAGATTTTGTTGGCATCTCACTCGATTGAATAATAGTTGAATAATAGTTAAATGTATATAAATTTCCACTCGATAATTTCCATCTACAATATCCTTCCAATAACGACTTTAAAGAGACATTGTCGTGTATCTATCCATTGCAGGAATTTATTACAGTTTCAGGAACTTAAGACAGGGACTACCAATGCACTGACCATCACATCTCGCGTCTTGAAAAGCTGGCCTTGTAAACAAGGCATGAACATCTTCAGTTTGTTGTGGTGAATAAACAGAGGACGATGCCTAAAACTCTCGAGGGATTTCAGCCGTCGCCCTCCTGCTACAATCTTGGACATAACTGGTTGAGGGACATACCTTTTCCTTTATACAAAATTCGCATACCTCTTCTGATAAAGTCCATTTAAAATACGTTAAGCTTCTTACGCCCCCACCCCAACTCAATGTTAAGCTTGAGTGGTGGTAAAATACCAAAATTCCGTTTCGGGGTTATTTACAATATGGGGGAGAGGGGGGCGGGGGGACGAAGTTTGCTTTGTCAATGTATATTCTTTTAGCAATAATACCATGAATGGTCTCAAGTGTTAAGTCCAAGAGTGTAGTTAAAGGCCCCTAATTGATGATTCCCCTTATTACGTTTTCGTAGCGCTTTACATTATGGTTATAGTGGTATCACTGATAAAGATAGCGGCCTCGAATGAAAATATTGGATGTTTTCGGGAATATTTTGCTGTTGCCTATCGCGCACCTGACCCTAGCTTCTTTTAAAGTTCTTGCACCGGTCAGGACAAAAAATAAGCCATCTTGAATATCAGTGATACCACTATAACCACAATGCAAAGCGCTACGAAAACGTAATAAGGGGAATCTAGTGTTACTTGGTCCATAGCCTATCGAAGGGAAGATGGCTGTGAAACTCATTAGAATAACAATAGTATTTTTGCCCAACTAACCAATAGGAATGTTTTAGGAAAGTCACCTATCCGTGACTCGAACAATAGGGAAGCTGGAAATTGCTATTGGTGGATTTGGTAAAAATACAATACACATGTGACGGTGAAAGGACCAGATTTATGAATAAACGTTGACTTACATAGATGAGTTATATTGTTATTCTAATGAGTTTCACAGCCATCTTCCCTTCGATAGGCTATGCTTGGTCACAATAGCTGCGACCAAAAGAAAAGTTTTTTTGAGAAGTTATTCGCTTGTATCAACTCTTATGAGTCTCAACTGACCTTCGTTACTTAGTATAAAACCTACGGCAAACTGCATGACGACTTTCATAATGCTGCTCCATGTCCCATAATGTACACAAACTGTAAATATTCCATGTCTTCGCAAAAAATAACAGTTGTTCACATATATCCACAAAGATCTTGCTACCTTCCTTGATTTTGCATACCTAACAAAGATGAAATCCAAAAGAAAATTATTAGTTAAAACTTCGAAGTTAGACAAACAGTTGTGAAGGACATACTGTAGCTGTGCATGGGGGGGGGGGCATACTTGATTTATACTGTATAGCACTCCTATATATTGCTTTCGGCCTTTTGTAGTAATCGCAATACAATGTGAAATACAGTGCCAAAAAGGAAATACTTGGAAAGCGCCAAAACAAAAGACAGGTTACGGACAATTCTTTCATGAAAAGTCTTCAAATGGCAAATTGTATTTGCTCGTCTGCATAGGCAAGCTTGCCAAGCAAAACTTAGCCTGCATGACAGGCGGTATTTCTACAGGCAGCGAAAATTAGGGAGTCAAAGGAAATACCGTCTGCCGCAAAACTAGGGGTTTTTGAATTCCCCGTCCGCTGGTGAACGGAAAAAACGGATTGGTTAGTATTTTTATGTAGTTGTCAATCAACGGCTAAATTCGGTTAAATGTTAATCATTAACCAAATGTTTTGACGTTTTGAAACTCTGCGTTTTGAAATTAGTTCACGTCAAGTCAGACCAGAAATGGAATACCATAAATGTAACAAAAGAAGCAAATTTAAAGATACAAGCTGAAAAATAACACTCTAAGTAGTGTTTTTTATAGCGATTCGAACAAGAATATTTAACAAAGAAGATACGTCCGAAGGGGCCGAAGTTATGATCGGCGAAAGGTATGGGCTAGTCTATATTTTCGTTCAGACAATTACATGCGTATTAATTTGATAATATACGATCTCGCTTGACTTTCAAAGCCCATAAATCGCAATGATGTTGACATTTTACTAAAACTATCGATAGAAATTAGGAGATATTTCTTCACTGAATCGAACGGTGGGATTTTCATATAGGCCTATCATGTTCTGAACCAAAGATACTTTATCGATATAATATATACGAACCTCCAAAGTATAAACAAGGGGCCAGTTGATGCAGTAATTATCAAATAACAGTTAAACTCTTATATACCCGTTGAATATGTATAGTTGTAAACAAATAAAAACTATCGTTCTATAAGGTTCAATACTTTCAGTTTGGTTGTTGACTGATGATGAATCTATAGTATAGACTTGCATGCTTTGTATTTTGAGCTTATTAAACCACCGTTTTAAGGCAGCTAAACGGCTAAACGGGCTTGGTTTATATTAACACATAAAATAAATTCCTTGATTGTCATCACTAGACACAGTCTACACTTTGAAATGTCGAAGACAGTGGGAGATTTATTTTTTATATTTTATATTTATATAATTTATATATCAATAGTTCGTATGTCCACGAACAATGACAAAATGACTGAGTTTCTTTAAAATACAATGAAATTTCATTCAAAATTCTGTTTGCTTCAAATTGGAAGTTTAAAATGGCAATAAAAACCCTATATAAAATATAAAAAAATTAACTGTCTTGAATTATTTTGCGGTCGGGCGGTAGATTTATATTGTATAACGAAATATAAAACATTTTCACGAGGATTTTAAAATTCAGTGGGGCGGTGATGAGAATCAAGGAATTTATTTTATGTTGGGCAGTTGGGACTTGGGTAACCTGAAGTTCAGGCCCTAATTTGAAATACGGGCCTGACACAAAACCTGTCTAGACCGTGGGACGCCCACATGTTATTTTTAGACACACATGCAATATGATTGACAAGTGTTGTAGATTTCGTTACACAACTAAAAATTTATATTCTCATGAATATGGATCTTGTCTAAAAGTACACACGAGTGACCACGAGTGACCACGAATGACCACGAGTGACCACGAATGACCACGAGTGAGTTCTGTGTTTAAAAGTCATAAAATAATAATAAAAAACTATTTTAAGGTGGCTCCATAGGGTTTTTGCATTATACTACACTTTTGTATCCAGAAAACTCCCGTTTCTTCACTTTACATAACATGAAGACGAAATTTATTGGACACATTGACAATGCTCTCCTGAACATTGCAATTTACTACTTTTGCGCTTAAACTCCGTTACCATGGTAACAGCGTGCTTAGAATAATTAAGCTCCGAAAATTTGTCTTTTTCCGGCCGTTTTAAAAATTTACAAATATGCATAGAAGATCTTTCTCGTATAATGATTTTTTTCTTCAATTTTTAAAAATTCTATGGAACGTTACTTAGATTATTCCCTTCAATAAAATTTTAAGAAAAAAGGATATTGAGCTTGTTTAGCCGATACCGTAAACCTCCGACTATAAGCCCCCCCGAATATAAGCCCCCCCTTGTATAAGCCCACCACATGTACTAACGCTCACATCATTCCAAATATAAGCCCCCCCCTCGAATATAAGCCCACCCAAATATAAGCCCCCCGAATATAAGTCCCCCAATTAAAATAAGCCCAGTAATCGCTGCTTAATACACGTTTTTTCCCTGTTTATGACTGACTTGTTTATGTCTGACTTGATATTACTAACACAAAAGATCGTCCATGTATAAGCCCACCCGTATATAAGCTCCCCCTTGTATAGGTCCATCAAAAATCGCTTACGAAAGTATATAAGCCCAGGGCTTATAGTCGGAGGTTTACGGTATTAAGAAATGTGCAAAGTTTGTGACCAGGGGCGTAGGAAGCATCGAAAAGTTGGGGGGGCCTCGGTTTCGAGGGGCACTTTTAGAATGAAAACGGCACCTAAAAAATTTTTCCCGGAAATGTTGGCGACGGGGGGGGGCAGGTCCGTAGCTAGCATGTATAATTGGGGGGGGGGTGTAGGCCGAATGACGAAAAAAATTTCCGAATATTTCATGGCCTACGAAACCACGAAGGTGTTTGCTATTCGGAAAATGAAGACGCAATTTAAAAACAAAAATACGCATATTTTACGCACAGACGTATTACAGAAGCATGCAGTGCCGTAGGAATCTCTTTTTGATTGGGGGTAATTGAGAACGAGGGCCAAAGGCCCGAGGAAATTTTTAAATTTAGAGTCTCTGAAATGCCATTTCCTGGACTTTGGGAAAGTTTTGACAGAATTCTGATGGTCAGAAAACAGCGTTTTAGTATGTCGAAATTTACAATTTGCTTGCAATTTAGTTGTACTAAATGGGGGAAAATTAAGGCGTATTTAATTAACTATATATTGGGGAAGTTGCAGGAAAGTATATATATAATATGATCTTTGCAGTTTGTCATGGATAATGTAACCGCTTAAAATTAATCAATTGTCATTATTTCAAAGGTATACTATTTAAATGATAAAGGTTTGCATGATCTTGACAAAAGAATGGTTATTAGCAAATTATTGGGAGGGCTGCAGCCCTCCCCCCAAGCCCCCACCCCCTCGCGGTTGCTTCGACCCTGAGAAGTAATAAACCGAAAAACATTTACCGATTTACGATTTCAGTTAAATGGAATGCACGTAAATGCCATGATTTCGTAAATCAGTTTATACTGACAATACAATTATATTATATTTTCTCTGTTTAACAACCAAAATTTTGTTATACTATTATTGCCGTTAGTAATTTTCCTAATGGCCAACCCGATTCTCCGAATATGTTGATTTTAAAAAAGTTGGGGGGGGGTTAACCCCCCCCCCCTCAATAGCTTCCCTCGCTACGGTCCTGAGGGAGGGAAGAGAAATAAATGCAATCATAAAGGCACCTAAAACATTTTTCGCGGAAATGTTGGCATTAATCAAAGCCCATTGAGGCAAAAATGCAATCTGAACAACATTTTTCACGAACACAAAGGGCACTTTGCCACCGAAAAAAGGGCACTTTTGAAAACTTGGGGGCCTTGGCCCTCCTGGCCTCCCCGGTCCCTACGCCCCTATTTGTGACGTGTAACCCCCACAACTATGAAACTCAGACAAAAATCCGGTAAAATTCCAGTTAAAATTTTGTTATTTTCAGGTAAAATTTGCGTGATAAAGTAATTATTTGTGTGAATGATAACCATTTTTGTAAAATATACAGTCAATTTACATCCAATTTGTTTGCGAATTTGCTTTAGAAAACGCCAGAATTGCACTCCTAGAGCTTCAAAAATGGAGCAATTTTTTGGGGGAGGACTCCCAAACCCCGTTTTCTCCCGAAACTTAGTATGACAGTGCAAGTCAAACCACAAGAAGCTTTATTATAATTATTACACCTTAGGTAAATATTTATTAAAAATTCAAATTTCAGGTAAAATACTCCGACAACCCCGCCCCCCCCCCAACTTCAGATGCTTTGCTATGTTCCTGTGGACTGACGTGTACAATAGTCGAAAAACTAAAAAAAATTTCCCGAAGGGAATTTTAAAATGGCCGAAAAAAGACAAATTTTGAGCCTTATCCTAAGCACGCTGTTGCCATGGTAACAGACTTTCAGCACAAAAGTAGCACATTGCAATGTTCAGGAGAGCATTGTCAATGTGTCCAATAAATTTCGTCTTCGTCTCATGTAAAGTGAAGAAACGGGAGTTTTCTGGATACAAAAGTGTAGTATAATGCAAAAACCCTATGGAGCCACCTTAAAATAGTTTTTTATTATTATTTTATGACTTTTAAACACAGAACTCACTCGTGGTCATTCGTGGTCACTCGTGGTCATTCGTGGTCACTCGTGGTCACTCGTGTGTACTTTTAGACAAGATCCATGAATATGTCCGCAGAGCATTTTGCTTTTTAATTAAACTTAAAAATTCAAGGTACTTTTATATAATTAAGAGTCAGTTTCTCTATTTAACCGAACAGGCGAACAGCAAACAAAGATTTAATTAGTCAGTTCTGTGCACGGCTTGACTGCCAAGCTTTCGCAAGGTCTCAACTTGCTGGACGCGGATATACTCTAACGACAACGGGCTAATAACAGCAACAATTAATTTCTCAATCATACCACGAAGATGGCGATGTAGCTCAGAAAACAATTACGCCGGTAGGACCTGATATTAAAAATAAGACTTTTGCCGGCGAAGCAAGTTGGCAGAACATCTTGGCTGTCAACAACAAGCTTTCGAATACATGACTAGTTTGGCTGTTCTTTCAGCGTCGTGTGTGTCCAAATTGGTCAAAGATTTTGATGAAGCCCTTTCAAAATACTGTTTGTTTGATTTATTTTCTGCCATAAAGCTTAAAAGAAAAGAAATTCGAAGAAATCGATAATGGAATTTGTTACGTGCGTTTGACTTTGACCTTTATATTAATTCTCGCCTTGACCGAGCTATTTTTAAAAATGTTGTTTATGTGAACTTGCAACCAATCAAAATCCTTCATGATGCTGATCAACCAATCAGATTTCCCGTCCACCAGGTGGACGGGAATCCCACACTTTAGATAGGTTTTGTGTCAGGCCCTATTCTGTGATAGGGCCTGAACTTCAGGTTAGGACTTGGGAGCAACTTGGGAGTGGCTAATTTTGAATATTTACTTAATTAATGACATCTATAAATAGCGTTGATGCTTCAGGGGCGGTAGTTCATTTACACCCAGTTTTGCGGCAGGCGGTATTTCCTAGTACCGCCTGCCATGCAGGCTAAGCAAAACTATGACAAGTACACTTGTTCAAAAGCTAGCATGCTATTCAAATTAGTATAATTATATAACAGCAACACCTACCATGTGGTGGCGAATTTCGTATACGCCACATTTTCTGCATAAAATATGACACCTCATTCCTGTTATGCTTTGTACCGTGTCACTGTATATCTGACATTTGCCTTTAACAATTAGCCTTTCTCACGATGACGAATATCGGCCATTTTGGGGTGGCATCTAATTCTCGTTAACCAATGCAGACAATTAAAACAATGTAAAAAGCAATTTTTCAAAATAAACTAACTATTTACAAAGCAAATTTACCATCATTCGTCCAAAAAATTATAAAAAGTCGCTGTTATGTGGACTTATCTCGCAGACTTCGGCTGAAAAGCCACCCAAAAATGGCGGCGTGAGAAAGGCTAATTAAATCAAATGTTTGTACACACATACCTTGATTGGTAAATTGTTGAAACCCAAATGGCATCATCGGCATTCCAGGTGGTGGCATCCCCTGCATTCCAGGTCCAGGGGGCATACCTTGGGGTGGCCCGCCCATACCTTGAGGTGGGCCCATACCCCCATGAGGTGGAAAACCTCCCTGTGGAGGAAAACCTCCCTGTGGGGGCATCCCCATTGGAGGCATACCGAAAGGAGGCATCATAGGCATTCGTTGATTTTGGTTTGGAGGGGCGGGGGGTGCTCCTCTCTGTTGTTGTTGGTTGGGGAAACCTTGAGGGGTGGCCGACATCAAGGGTCGAGGGGGAGGCGGGCGAATATCACTTGGAGGACCTCTACCAGGCTGCAATGAAAATACAAATCTGGATTTAGCTGCGAGATTTAATATCAGCTAGACAGTGGAAATATACTGTAATGTTAATTCCATGAATTCATACACTAGACTCTCGTCTGGCATTCGTACGAGTCAAATAATTGATTGTTCTGTTTAAATAGTGAAGATTTCAGATGTCGCACAAACAACTTTCTTTTTCGTTAAAAAATTCAAAAATCCAATGAATTTTCGTGTTTGCTAAAACACTGGGTTAGAAAAGTCCGATACAGGTAAAAACCATGGGAATAAATTATCCTGAATAAATATTTTGATTGATTGATTGATATTGAATATAAATTGTTCCCTTATTTAGAGATTCTAACGTCCCATGCTATACCAATAAATCAATAATTGTGCCGACTATATCTTGAAACATTTTAGCAGTTTTCCTAATTAATATTCAGCACACGTCAGCAATTACATTCTAGGCATACATTTATGGGGCGCCAAGTGTAAATTTATTATTTAATTGAAAAACGGGTGAACTTTTCCGTTATTTATAAATAATGGAATACAGATGACATTATTTATATATAATAACTTTTAGAGCTTTACATTATTTATATATAATGAAAGTTGTAAAACAATTATTTATATATAATAACTTTAAGAGATCTGTATTATTTATATATAATGAAAGTTTTAATGCTATTATTTATATATAATGAAAGTTGTAAAACAGTTATTTATATATAATAACTTTAGGAGATCTGTATTATTTATATATAATGAAAGTTTTAATGCTATTATTTATAAATAATAAAAGTTGTAAAACAATTATTTATATACAAGTTGGTTTCTTAGAGTAATTATTTATAAATAATGTGCTGTTTCGTCTCTTATTATTTACATATAAATAAGTTGACAAATATATTAGTTATAGCAAAGCTGAGTGCAGTTTAGTAGTTATTTATAAATAAGTACTGCATTGCTCGCTTACAAGCATTATTTACATATAATGGAATTTCGCGTATCATAAATTTACACCTTCACGCGCCAAGTGGAAATTTATTATTGGCGGGAAAAATGCGTGGTTACCAAGGCTGAAAGCGCTCCTTATTAAAATATGGCCGCCGATCGCGAAACTCTTTCGAGGACGATTTCAGAAGCCGTTTCTAGAGCAGTTACCGACGCATTGACTGCAACATTATGGCCGGTATAAAGTATAGATAATATTTCGCCCTTTTTTCCTTTTGAATTTTCTATGAGTAAAGAACAGTGTATAACCGAATGTTTGTATTTTATAAATCTCAATAGCAACTGCCTCGTGTTGACTCACCAGCTGCTATCTCCCAAGCCCGGCAAACTCTTTCTTCCGCTGGCACATCTGGGACTGCAAGCAGTAGTCGGATAAGGGAATATGGTTTTAAATCTTTTCAAATAGAATTTGGATGTACAGAAGTATAGGGGAGGGGGGGGGTGCCGTTTTGGGTTTATCACTGGCCAGTCCACCTATGTGTTTAGGGACTGGTTATAACATACAGGGAGTGGGGGGGGGGGCTAGAAAATTCAAGGTACATAATTTTTGGCAACTCACCCCCCTGAGCCCATGCACCCCCCAAAACATTGCTAAAAATAGTAATGATCCACCCCTAATTTGATATTTTCCTTGAAAATCATCAACCTCCCCTTTCCCCTACGGACCCTACGCTTCTGTACATCCAAATTCTATTTGAAAAGATTTAAAACCATAATCACCTGTTCCCTTATCCGACTACTGCTTGCAGTCCCAGATGTGCCAGCGGAAGAGTTTGCCGGGGGATATAGATTAATGTCTCACTAATAGGGTTAGCGGTTAGGGTTAGGATTAGAGTTAGCATTGTAAATAGCGAGACATGAATCTATAACCTTGCCGGGCTTGGGAGATAGCAGCTGGTGAGTCAACACGAGGTAGTTGCTATTGAGATTTATAAAATACAAACATTCGGTTATACACTGTTCTTTACTCATAGAAAATTCAAAAGGAAAAAAGGGCGAAATATTATCTATACTTTATACCGGCGATAATGTTGCAGTCAATGCGTCGGTAACTGCTCTAGAAACGGCTTCTGAAATCGTCCTCGAAAGAGTTTCGCGATCAGCGGCCATATTTTAATAAGGAGCGCTTTCAGCCTTGGTAACCACGCATTTTTCCCGCCAATAATAAATTTCCACTTGGCGCGTGAAGGTGTAAATTTATGATACGCAGACCTCTCAACTTTGCAGAGAAGTTAAGAGTGAGATTGAAAAAAATTTTTCCGGAAAAATTATTTCGGCGACCCCCCCTCCCCGTCGCCAAAAAAATTTCGGTCAGTGTACCATTTTAGGGGTCAAAAATATTTTCCGGACAACCAATATTTTTCCGAACGTACACAAAATTTTCGAAAAATCACAAAATTTGCCAAAAAATTGACTTAATTTTAGACAAAATTTACAGAATTTGTCACATTTTTTTTTATTGCAACCCAAAATTGCCCGACTGTTGATCGAATATTGCCCGATTGCCCAAAAAAATTTTTATGCGTTAGATTTACTAAACGTGGCGTGAGAGAGAGCGTGAGACTGAAGCGAATTGCGTGAGACTCACGCCGAATGCGTGAGAATTGAGAGGTCTGGCGTGAGAGCGTGAGACTGAAGCGAATTGCGTGAGACTCACGCCGAATGCGTGAGAGTTGAGAGAGGTCTGGATACGCGAAATTCCATTATATGTAAATAATGCTTGTAAGCGAGCAATGCAATACTTATTTATAAATAACTACTAAACTGCACTCAGCTTTGCTATAACTAATAGATTTGTCAACTTATTTATATGTAAATAATAAGAGACGAAACAGCACATTATTTATAAATAATTACTCTAAGAAACCAACTTGTATATAAATAATTGTTTTACAACTTTTATTATTTATAAATAATAGCATTAAAACTTTCATTATATATAAATAATACAGATCTCCTAAAGTTATTATATATAAATAATTGTTTTACAACTTTCATTATATATAAATAATAGCATTAAAACTTTCATTATATATAAATAATACAGATCTCCTAAAGTTATTATATATAAATAATTGTTTTACAACTTTCATTATTTATAAATAATAGCATTAAAACTTTCATTATATATAAATAATACAGATCTCCTAAAGTTATTATATATAAATAATTGTTTTACAACTTTCATTATATATAAATAATGTAAATCTCTAAAAGTTATTATATATAAATAATGTCATCTTTATTCCATTATTTATAAATAACGGAAAAGTTCACCCGTTTTTCAACTAAATAATAAATTTACACTTGGCGCCCCATATACATTCAGTTGAGATGAGCTGGCTCATCTTATATTGTATTAGTTAATTTAGTTATGTTATTGTTAAAAGATATATTTAGTTGATTAAAGTAAGTAGGAAATAACTTAGATTCCTCAGCCATGGGCTAGGATTATCTCATTGGAACAGTATTTTGTTAATGATAAGTTGGGTTTTTTTTTTATTTATTTAGCTTTGCCAACTAGGGCAGGGTCACCACAACAGCATATGCCAATTACTGTGGGCCCTTTTTTTTACCTAACCCACCCTGTCAACTTTCCCTGTGGGAGGAAACCGGAGTACCCGGGGAAAACCCACGGCTTTCGGCAGAGCGTTGACTTTTACTCTTTTCACATGGGGACTGGGTTCGAGTCGCACTGAGAAGGTACTTAGTGAGACTCGAACCTGCAGCCTCAGAGGTGACGTGTCACTTGCATGTAAATTAAGATAGTTAAAATTATTGTAAACTGATTGTCTCAGTCAGTTGGCCATTGCGGCACAGACTGAACGTTGCAACAAGGATTGTTTTTAAATATATATGGAAAGGTTGTGAAATGTGTGTTAGTTGATTCTGTGAGAACCAGCAGAGGAGTGAACTCCTCAAAACTTAGCTCTCAATTTGTGCTCGCACTGACTCGTAAACTAGAACAATTGTAGTAACCAGAGATGTGTGTTATTGCTGCCGAGCCTCAGCGAGGCAGCACACTATTCTCGACGGTACCAGTCTCCACGCGCCGAGTTTAGTAGACCAGCTTGAATCTCGATTTTTTGTGTTTGTATGTCAGCGATTCAGGGGGGTTACGAAAATAAATTATGCTTGCCGGGGGCACAGGAAGCAGTTACAGGATGATGCACACATATGTTTCTTTCCTATACTTTTAAAAAAATACACAATCTGACGCTGAAGCTATCTACAAATTATGGCAATTTTTATCCGAGGGAACATTAATCAAGGCAATGACTGTTTTGATGTTAAGTCTAGAGGTAAGCGGTGTACGTGCCTTTAATAATTTACTGTAGCCTATAAAAACCTTTTAGACCTCGCTTGTTTCTATAAATGCGTTCGGCACATGAGAAGCTCGACGTTTGAAACAGGCCTTAGTTAACTCAATGGTCACCAACGACATTAAAATATAGTATTTTATTATAAGGCGACAAAATGTATTAATAAAAGCGATGAATAATCGGGCTTATCATTTGATTCATTTGCCGCCGGGTTTCGTGTAGTATTTGTCCGTGAGAGACCTACCAAAACTTTAAACTTGTTATTGTATCGTGTTTGGAGAATGAGTTCACTGTTCACTTTCGATATTTGTTGTCGATCTGAGCATAGTTTATATTAACTATGATCTGAGCAAAATATTGATTTGCCTGCCGAGGCGCACAGCATTGGACCGCCAATTGTGGTGAGTGATACTAAACTGCCTATTGTGGTGAGTGATATTGAACCGCCTGTTGTGACGAGTGACACTAAATTGACATGGACTGGACCCATGGACTGGACCCAAAATTGGACCCAAAATTGGACTCAAAATTGGACTCAAAATTGGACCCAAAATTGGACTCAAAATTTTAAGCAAAATTTTGCCCAAAAATCCATTATTTTATCGGAGAGAAACAACCCTCAGAATATCGTGCTATGATTTAATTTGTATAGGCAAAAA